TTTGAATTTTAAAATTTCATTTTTTTTTGTTTTTTTTTTTTTTTTCCGATAAGTAGTACTCCACTGCGTAAATGTACTACATTTTCTCTGTTTATTCTTCAGTTGAGGGGTATCTGGGTTGCTTTCAGGTTCTGGCTATTACAAACAATGCTGCTATGAACATGGTTTTCAATATTATCTGTTAACCTCTTTTTAAAAAGCCACAAAAATAGCTAACTGGGACATCTTAGTGCCATGATGAAGCCATGGAGAATGGGTGAGGTGTTTCCCAGGACTTCTTAAATTATAGTAAGTAGTCACATTCATCCCCTGACCATGTCTGAGTCTAAGATTTCCAGTTTCAACGAACTTATGAATATGTCCCTTGGAGAAAATTTGGGTGCACGATAATTAGAATCTTAAGGGAAAACAGCAGCTATGTGCACCTTGGCCATGCCAGACATTTCATGCATAGACCCTCAAGTCTTAGTCCTCACTTACTCCACAAATGTTAAGAACCATCAGAAAAGGAAGAGGGATGCTGTTCTCCTTACACAGAACAGTTACTTTCAAGTCCATATAACCAAACCTTTATCAGAACAAAGTGTGAGAGCTTTGAGAGCTGGCTAGATAGCTGATCTCCTCATGCAATTGGAGGCAACCTAAATTCAATGCTGTGCTCTTGTAGCCTTGGTCTTTGGATAGCAAGAGGAGTTTCTTTAATAATAGTTCTTTTTTTGCTTCTTCAAATTCCATTCTTGCCAGTAGGGTCATATATTAGCACTTGATTTGAACATTGCCAAAGAGCTAAATTGTATTGAAACCTCAGATCAACCTGCATTCTGTGGAATATATACTTACCTGAAAATATTTTATCATCAGAACTTGACACTGCTTAATTTCTTAGTGGTGGAATCTTTCTTCCTGCTTTCAATGCTGGCACCCAAAACCAGAGCCTTGTACATGCTAAACAAGTTTGGCTCCATGAGTGAGCCACACTTACAAGTTCAGGGGCAATAACTAAATGTTCGGCCTATTTAGGGTCAGTTTTCAAGTTCAAAAGTACATCAATCTGTAGGTCCCTGCTTTTAGTTTGAGCCCATTCATAGAGCTGATGTGTATCAAGATACACTATTTTACCTTTCCTCAGTACAAAATGGGCACTTTCCACCTTTTTCCTATCAGTAGTCAATGGAGCCAGCATCAGGAATGTAATCCTTTATGGTCAGTTTCTAGTTTCTGCTCCAGATTATTCTTCCCAGTATTGATAATGGTGAGATTTAGGAGTGTATAAAAAGGTTAATAGGTGACAAGAGGAACAATCCTACTGGTTTTGAAGACAGTACTGAGTGGAATATGTAGTGTGCTCTTCTTGTCTCGGGACTAATTTCATCACTTTTACATCTTAGGTGGGCCTCTTAGGAAGAACTGGCTCAGGGAAAAGTACTTTGCTATCAGCATTTCTACGCTTGTTGAACATTCAAGGTGATATACAGATCGATGGCGTCTCGTGGAACTCAGTGACCTTAAAAGAATGGAGGAAAGCTTTTGGAGTAATAACACAGGTGAGCACAAAAATGTAAAAACCAACAGTAAAAATTAACATATTATATCTTTGTTGGACATACTTAAGAAATTCTTATCACTCTGCTAAATATATTTGGTGGGTTCTGCTATCTCTCCTGCTGTGCAAGAAAAATGTACTATAAGGTGAAAAAGCACCTCCCAAAGTTTGGAATTCTGTGTGATGTGTATTTGTTGAAATGTTTTGATGGTGTTTTTCTGAAGCACGATCTGTAGGAGCGGCCTGGAACAGATTTTGAGATTCATAGTCCTGCTTCAGTGTTCAGAGCTCCAAGTGAGTGATAGCAGCCCATGGATAAACACTTTGCAAGATGTGAAAGATGCTTTCGAAATCACTAGCTCTTGGAAGCGTGACATGGTGGAATTGGAAATCCAAAGTGCAGTGGTTGTCCTTTGGAGTTTGAATAGAAGAACTGTGTCATTTTAATTGATAGCTTGTGAATGCCAGCCTTTGATTTGGGTCATTCAGGAACTCTAGTCTCAGTTGAGTGCCATTCTGTGTGTTATCGCACAAGCTAATATTCTGGACAGAAGAGAAACAGCAACCATTTCAGGGAAGTGACCCAGATGCAAACCAAGAGAAGTCTTTACTGAGACTGACGCCAGAAGATATTTGCAGTGTTTCTGCTGTTGTTTGCCATTTTCTCCAATGCTTTTCCTCCTTTTGTTCTGCTGAGCATGGAATCCAGTCTGCTATACCCAGTCCTCTGTACTTTTAACACAAACTTAGCATGCCAGAACCATCACCAGGTAGACCAACCACAAATCAAGACCAAGAAAATGTTTGTATTCTTGATTCATGATCTTCACAGAGCATTTGCTCCTTTCAAGTGGTGAGGCACTAAATATTGTGCCAAACTGATGCTTTCAATTCAGAAGCTTCATCCTGGCTGGAGTTGTGGGAACACAATTTTAAAGACAAAAGGAGTGTCAGATGGGCTAAAGATAAACACAAGTTTCCTGAGGTGAAAAAATTAGGCAAGTAAAAATGTTGAGCGAAGTGGAAGCGAGTGTGGTTGTCAGAGAAGTGCTGCTATGGAGTTCCCCTAAATCTTCTGCTTCCAATTTTGACTAACACAGTGAAATCTTTGCCTTTGTTTTTCTTATTCACACATGTATACTAGAAAAGCCAAGCTCTAAAAGGTCATGCTTCTCATCCTTCACTGTACCTGCCCCACAGTAAAAGGGCTCTGTACGCCTTGTTAGTTCTGCTTAGGAACTTACATACACAAGACCCAGAGGACAACAGAATGGGCCAGAGTTAGGAAAATCTGTCTTGCCTTTCTGCTTGTCAGTCTTCGGACTTGCCTCTGTTCATTTCTGCTCTTTAATGGCATCAGGTTTACATTTTAAGAAATGGGGAAAAAAATGTGTTCATGGGCAACTTCAGAAATGCTGATGAGGGCCATATAGCTGCTTTGTTCAGTGTCTCAAGAACATTTGCCAGTATGGTTAACATTGGATCATTGACAATTTTTGAACATCATATAAATACCTAAGAAAGAGAAAGAGGATAGATTCCTCCTATATTTCATGTCTAAACTAAAGACTACTTTACTTTTTCTAACTCTTTCTGGAGCGTAGGAATTACAACATGTTTTCTATTTCCAGGAGATTGATCTTTAGAAAGAAGCAAAGAATGAAGAGTAAACTGGATATCCAGGAACTAATTTTGTTTGCTTTTCATCTTTTCCTTTCTCCTATGTCTTTCCTTACAAGAGCAAACTTCTGATGGTCACTCTCACTTTGAACTAGTGTAATGCTCTAGGTTCATTGGCCACTGGTTTTCAGAAACATGAAACAGGTGGATTGAAAAACATCCCCTCTCTCGTACGAGGGATCCTGAAACATTAGCTGTGGAGTCACAAGGTGCCATTGGTTTGAGCATTTCCTGGCAGGTGTTTTGTTTCTGTTTGTTTTGTTTTTATAGTTTAGCATCTTGAAAGCAGTCTCAGAATACATGCTGCCCAGAAGACAGACTATTGTGTACATTCCAAAGCAGAGCCTCTTTGATTTTTTCTATTGTGACTGTGAGTTTCTAGTCAAGAAGAGAAGACAATGAAGATAACAGTTGGCATCTCACTGGCTTAGACAATTAAAGTAGCAAGAGGAATATGTTCACTAACTGTGGACCTTGTCAAGCAGATAAATTCATGAAAACAATTATTTTAAAGCTTCAGTTATCAAGTTAGAAGACTAGAAACTTTTGAGTAAATGGCCCAAGTTTTTATTTTTGGTTTTCATTGTTTTTTTTTGTACATGGTGTGTGTATGAAAGGAAGGGAGGATTGTGGGTATGTGCATGATATGACACACTTGAGGAGGTCAGAGCACAACTTTCAGGAATCTGTTCTCTTCTCCCACCGTGGAATTTGGAGATTGGATTCATGACATGAGGCTTGTGTGGCAAATGTTTTTATCCACCGAGCTCTCTCTCTGGCTCCTTTTCTAAATGATTTGAAAATAGCCAACATCCACCCATCATTCTCTCCACAGACAGGACTTGGTGCATCTTGTGCTTTGAGAGATATCACATAGCATGTGTGGATATAAACTAAAGTTGCTGGGGCAATAGGTGGCAGCTTAAAGCTTACCATATAAAATTACCAAACTTTGTGCTTGTAATTATTATTATAGACTTTTCGGTTATATGAAATGTAGAGATACTACTTGTCCTTGTTATGCCCCAGAGAAATTCCAGGCCAACCTGTAAACTTCTAATGAGAAACTCAAAATGATGCTCATCTTCATAGGACAGAGATTAAAGAAAAAAAACCCTGAAAATCAGTAATAGAACATAGCTGTCTGTCAAAGTTGAGGCTACTGTGCAGACAGTGATAGATGTCCAGGCCCCAAAGCTGCTTCTGGGGGCTCAGTGTCCCTCCTTTCCTGTTGTTTGTTTTCCCTTTCTTGCCTTGGTATCTCTCTTTTTGTGTAGCAAGCATGTAACTGTTTACAGGTCAGATTTTATTAACTGAAGATTTTTTTTCTCCAACACAAATGTTCTGCTTTCACTGTCCACACCCAGATGGGTTATAAAACCTTGTTTATAAGTTTCTCCTTGTACTTCTGATGTATCTTATTTTTAAATTATCTGCATATGCCTTTAATTTACATTTTGAATTTAAACAAATTGTAGATATTCTAGTTAAAATGCTAGATTTAAACACAGTGATCAAAAACGGAAGCAGAAGTAAAAAGATAGAAATACTAAGTAAAATAAATTTCTTCTGAATTTTTCCCTCTGTTTTTAAGACATGTAACATAACACCTTGCATGAGAGGAATTCAAATTACATTGTTTTATGCTGAATCACTAAATGTTGCTGTCTCTCTCATTTGTGGTTCTGTCAGCATTTGGGCTCTACTCTGTATAATCTTAGGCCACTTGTTTTATTTCTGTGTCTTACTCTCCTTATTTGTAAAATGGGTATAACAATAATAACAATTCCTTGTACTTTTGTAGGAACTGAATGACAAGTTTTTAGATTCTTCATTTCCACACTGCTTGAGCATTTTCTGTGTGTGATAGTTACTATTATCTCTTATAATTCTATGAGGAAAAGTGCCATGTTTCCTTTGTCTGTATATTGGATTGGGGGTATGTTCTATAAGTGTGAATAAATGAGTGTGCACAGTTTCACAAAGAAAGTTGTAATGAACACATGCCATAAAGTGTCATAAAGTTTATAGGTTTGGAAAGATTGGGTACATGGGGTTCCAGGCAGGGAGACTATGAACAAGTGAAAGGATAGGTCAATATGAAGGGAAAGGGAGAAGTGGCAGAGCCATCACAGGTTAGGGAGAATTTGGAGAAGTCATCACATGGTCTAGCAGCTAACGGCTGACTCTCCTGGGGTGAGGAAGGGCCTGGAGAAGGTATGGTAGAGCACTGGTACACACATGATGGACTCTCAGATGATCACACTGTCATGTGATTAATTAGAATTTACTGATGTAGATGGTTGGACACAGTGCAGAATTCAAGAGAGGGCACAAAAGTAAAAAAAACAAAAAAAAAAAACAAAAAAAAAACATGTCCTATTTTCAAAACCTTAGGTTACATGTTTTGATTAGAAAAAATACTTTTATCTGTCTTTGAAAAAAATTATACTAAAACTTTGTAGTATAAAAAGTGTTACAACTTGCTGGGCATTGGTGGCGCATGGCTTTAATCCCAGCACTCAGGAGGCAGAGGCAGGGGGATCTCTGTGAGTTTGAGGCCAGCCTGGTCTCCAGAGCGAGTGCCAGGATAGGCTCCAAAGCTACACAGAGAAACCCTGTCTCGAAAAACAAAACAAAACAAACAAACAAACAAAAGTGTTAAATGGATCTCCAGGAAACTGTATTTCTATTATCTTAATGCAACATTTTATATTTAAATAAGTGGCATACACCTTGATGGGATAACAGTCTGTATTTGTTATAATCTGTCAGTGGTTCTGAATAGAAATATATTCTTCATAATTTTCTAGCTGATGGATGTTCTTTAGAGCAAAACAGTGATTGATTATAAACATTCTAATGCACCTGAGAGTTGTGATGGTTCATCCTGGATGGGTTTTTACTGTCCTGAAACTGCAGCAGAAATGATGAGAGACTTCAACCACATTAATATCTCCAAGCATTTGGGCCACATTGCGAGGGAGATAGACGTGCACATATATGTGTGCAGGGACAGTCACTTCTCCCCTTTATTTGCTTTGTACTAAATTCAGTCACCACATAATCTGTATTGCTTTTTTTGTTTTCTAGTACTACAGCATAGTGCCTGTTGCAATTATAGACCAGCCATGGGAAATCCATGTAGGCTCAGCTGCTTCCACAGAATTGAGGAATGGAGGAGTCAGTTTCAGGGAAGAGATTAGTCATGGGGTGAACAATGTGATCTCTTTATTCTGCCTAGAGTCTCAAGAATTGCTCTTTATACCATACATGACATTAAATAAATATCAAATATTTGCTTGCCCTAACTTTCTTATTAGTGACTAGTTTCTTACAAGACCTGTAGGGGATCCTTGTGATTGGAAGTTTCAGATACATTTCTTTGGTGCACGGATCTGAGAGTGCTTGTTGGCCAAACCATGCCACTTCCCAGGCTGCGACTGTTGAATTTGAAAAGAAGAGAGAAAGATCTTAGGTTGACCTCAAGGACCTTTCAATTCTACAGAGAGGTTTGTGGGGTGTTCAAACAGTTTAGGAAACATAAGCAAGACATCTGCTGGCACTGTAAAAGCAAGTCACTGCCAGGTTCTCTTTGAATTACAGGAATGGAATGTCTGATTGATAGCGTACAATTGAATTCTAACCAAACCGGTTTGTTCAGTCATTTTTTCTTTAAAATTGGATGTGTAGTTTACTAGACAAGAAATTATGAACAAAAGGCTTGCAAGATTTCTGAGTTGTAATAAATCCACCACACCTAAAGCTTTTAGATTCCTAAAAGACAGCTTCCTTCCTTCATAATTTTGAATTTGTATCTGTTTAAAATAAATTAGTTAAAATGTCATAAATTTAATAAACTAATATGTATATTATAGACTTATGAATACTTGTAGGTTGGTTCACATTTAGTAAATCTTTTGCTCTCTGTCTCTCTGTCTCTGTCTCTCTCTGTCTCTTTCTCTCTCTCTCTCTCTCTCTCTCACACACACACACACACACACACACACACACACAGAGAGAGAGAGAGAAAGAGAGAGAGATACCTTTATTAGCCAGAGAGTAGCTTATAGAAGTTAAACTTCACAATTGAGAAAAAATAATATTTACTCTAATATGATTATTTTGAACTTTTATTTCTCCATATCAGCACACTCATTCTGGCAGCATTTTTTTTTAGCTTATACAAAGCTTGTGTCTACAGTAGAAAGCAAAGACATGGTCTTCAAGAAGATATGAGCATTATAAATCAAACATTCACAGATGTGCAATTAATCTTAGTTGTTTTCTTTGAGACATGTGACCTATATTGGCCTCTGGCTTTCTGTGTAGCAAAGGGTAACCTTGAAACCTTTATCCTCTGTTTTCTACCTCCTGGGTGTTGTTATGGGCACAAGCTACTGTGCCCAGTTTATGTGCCTGTGGGATCAGATCCAAGGCCTCTTACAAATTAAGTAAGCATTTTCACCAACTGAACAACATTGCCAGCACCTAAGCTCAGTATTATTTAAAGAATGAAAGTATAAGAAATAATTGGGGGAGCTTGTTTGGTTTGATGATAAAAAAAAATAGTGCCCCTAGAAAATGAAATTTAATTTGAAAAATGAAAGATAGAGCTTACTATGTGAAGATCATGGATATTTCCAGTTGAGAATAATAAATTATGTGAAGAAGTTAAGAAAGTCTGTGTGGTTAGACTAGAGTGGAGTGGAAAGGGGCCATAAGATTTTGTGGCTTTTGAAAGGATTTTGTGCCCTGAGGAAAATGGCAAGTCAGTGAAAGTTTTCTAAAAGATTAATGAAATGACCCATTTTCATTTATCGTGAATTACTTGAATGCATTGTAAGAGAAGCAAGAGTATAAAGAAACAAACCAATTAGGATGCTCGTTCAGTGATACAGAGAGAGCTAGTGATGGTCTGGACTACTTTGTGGGAACAGAAACTGAGAAATAAGTTGATTTGACATCTAGTTTGGGGATAAAATAAATGACCAATGGCTTATTTCATTTAGGTAGATTGAGGAGTGAGATAAATCATAAATGCCTTTCGCATCTTAGACAGAAAGATGAAGATGCCAAATTCTGAGACGGAGATGCAGAAAGAATGGAAGTAGGATGCATGCTCTAGTTTACAAAGCATGGAAATGAAAGAGATTAGGTTCCTGTTTGTAGCCATCCCTACCTAACCAGAACCAAACTACCGCAGCATCTTTGTAGGCCATATTCCCTTTAGTAACTGTCTGCTTTGAGGATAAAACATCTGGCCAAAGTAAACATTTTCTATTGTGTGCTTCAGCAGTTGCAGACAGGCAAGCCAGAGAAGAAAAGGCCAAGAAAACTATCTTAGGCATTCACATCATAATTATTTTGCCAGTCTTCTGTGTACACAGAGAGTACTAAATATTATTTTTTAAAATATTACTTATTGCCTGATTCCTTGTTAAGATAATGGTTTTCTTTTGATGCATGACTACCTAAGCGGAAGTGATTCTGCGAGCAGACCATCTCAGCAATGGCCATGCAGTGCTGTTTCCACGCCTGGAACACCTGCCTCTTTGCCCCAGAACATATGCCTTTGAACAAATGGTTGATCTATGATGATTTATGAGTTTCTAAGTTGTTCTTTCCTCTGTTTTTCTCTGTTCATATAAGCAAGATGCTACACAAATTTATAAACTAAATGAGAATGTGTGTTTGAGTAAGTTTCCATATGTTAACATAGTTTTATAATGTCTTAGGAAACTAGTTCATCAGTGAAATCCAAGGAAAATACATTTAAAGAAATAGGACTTTGTCCTGGCAATTTAATTCACATCGTACACATGTTGTTTTTAACTTTTCTAATTATACATTACATTTGCTTATATTGAAGAATGTAAGTAAAAGAAAATACTCCATTCTCCATGATATACAGTGGCCTCAATTGGAAAAAATGTTCAAAAAGAGTTTCAACTGCTGTTATATTTTTTCTTTAAAAGTGATATAAAAGGAAGATTGAGTCAGGGGAAGAATAGAGGAGAGCAAGAAAGAGATACCTTAATAGAGGGAGCCATTATAGATTTAAAGAGAAATCTGGCAATAGGGAAATCTCCAGGGATCCACAAGGACAACCTCAACTAAGAATCTAAGCAACAGTGGAGAGGCTACCTTAAATGCCCTTCCCCAATAATGAGATTAATGACTACCTTAATTGCCATCCTAGAGCCTTCATCCAGTAGCTGATGGAAGGAGAAGCAGACACCCATAACTAAGCACTGAGCTGAACTCCTGGAATCCACTTATAGAGAGGGAGGAGTGATGAGCAAAGGGGTCAAGACCATGCTGGGGGAACCCACAGAAACAGCTGACCTGAACAAGGGGGAGCTCATGGACCCCAGTCTGACTGCTAGGGAACCAGCATTGGACAGAACCAAGCCCCCTGAACATGGATGTCAGTTAGGAGGCCTGGGCAGTCTATGGGGCCTCTGGCAGTGGATCAGTATTTATCCCTAGTGCACAAATGGACTTTGGGAGCCCATTTCCCATGGAGGGTCAAATGATGTGACAGACTTTAATGATTCCTCCATGAAAGGCCTCACCCTCCCTGGGAAGTGGATGGAGGAGTGGGATGGGGGAGGGTTGGTGGGGGGCATGGGAGGATGGGAGGGAGAAGGAATTGGGATTGATATGTAAAATAAGATTGTTTCTAATTTAAATAAATAAGATATAAAGGTATTACAATTTAAGAAAAGCAGATGGTAAATACATGGATGTTTGTTTTGTTTCATTTCTTGAAATGTTTTGGAACAAAGGAAAATATAAAAAGATGAATAGGCTATTCATACTTTCTAATTTTTTGTCATTATAGAAAGTATTTATCTTTTCTGGAACATTCAGACAAAACCTGGATCCCCATGGAAAATGGAGAGATGAAGAAATATGGAAAGTTGCAGATGAGGTAAGAATGCTAAATGAAATAGATTTGAAGAAGCAGGTCATACACACAAATGTGGTTGCCATAGATGATATATAGTTTTACACGTCTGCCTGTATGTACATGTGTGAACGTATGCATGTATGTATGTATATATATATGCTTTGTAAGCACAGTGCTCTGATTTACCCGGCACATTCATGCTTGGAATTAGACTCACCCCTCTTCTCAGGGGAGTCAGTTCCTACTGTGTAGTCTGTTCGTGCTACTGTAATAAAGTTCCATAGACTCAGTTGTTCATAGACAACATATGTTTATCTCTCATCATTTGGAGACCATGAAGTTTTAAGCCAGGAGACACTATTGGTTATATGCTGAGGCCCTACTTCCTGTCAGTGCAGAGATGCACTTGCTGTGTCTCACCCAGTGTTAAGTGGTGAATGAGCTCTCTGAAGGTTCTTTTTATTATAGTGCTAATCCCATCCATGTGGGACTCAGACCTAATCGCTTCGCAATGGCTTCTCTCTCAATAGCACTATCCTTGGCTTTAATATCTTAACAGGAGTTTCTGGAAGATTTATACATGTAGACCTAGAACTCCCTCCTTTACTCCCCTCCAAAGTCCTGTCTTTTCCTATGAAAATAAACGTAATACTCCATCTCAACAACCCCCAAAGTCATTTCAGTATGGTCCCAAAATTCTCAACTCGGCCAGATCCATGAGGCTTTGGGCTTTAGATTTGTCACACTGGTATTCCACCATTTCCTGCCCTTTGGCCATTGTTGCTCCCTTGCTGTTTCCCCCTTTCTGCCTTCCTCCAGAGTATATCTTGCCAGGAGCTTTGAAGCCTCAGAGTGCTAAATGCTAGGCACTTGAGTAACCAACCCTAACCTTCCCCTAATAAAATGCACTGACATTAACCATTTTTCATTATCAAGGTTTCCTTATTACCCAACAAATGCAAGGTTTTTAAAGAAAACATTAACTAAATTGCAAGTGACATGCTATAAGATCCTTGATGGGATTTTAAAAGAGTGAACTGTAAGAATATAGTGTGCTGGAGAGAACTTGGAAAAGAAGGTATTAGGCTTTATAAAACCCACAGGTACTGCCAAGTCTCCATAAAATTTGCAGAAAAGCAGGATCATAAAATCATCTAAAATGTTAGAAGATATGGTTAAGACTTTGGATTCCAGGATAATACAGATAATCACATGGCTAGATTTTGTCCATCAGTACATATTTAGATTTATCTTTTCCCTTATCCTTCTTTTAAATTTTTGTTCATAAAGATGTTGCTTCTGAGATATCTTTACTGTCCCATGGCCTGAGTAAGAGTGACAAGTCTTTTGAAGAGACCACAAAAACACCCAAGCACCAAGCCCTATCCTACAGCAATAGAAAGGAGACTTGGGCTAAAAGGCACAATTCCAAGGCTTTAATCCTTTATGGTAGATGATCCAATATATGCAAACAGGGGCATGTTGGGGTGTGTCAGCCCGCTAAGACACTGGGACAAAAGTCTAACCTTCCTGGGCTAGTGCAGGGCAGCTCCCTACCCTGTGCAGCTCTGTAGAGCTTGCTAAGCCTGCATCTCCTCTGCTTACCACTCTCCTGGTGCCTTTCCATTGCCTGCTGGACACGGTGCCTGTTGTACATTGCTTAAAGGACCTTTGTGATTGGGTCTTTGTCATTCTATTCTCAGCCCCCTACCTCCCCTGTGTCTTATGATCCACCTACTGTAAATTTCAATTTTCTTTAAAGCACAGAATTCTCTGTTCTGTGGTAGGAACTGGAGGTGGTTGTTGCTGCTGCTCTCTGTGCCTGGGAAACCCTCCCAGTCCCTGACTCCTGTTCCTTCTCATCACTCAAGCCTTTTGCTACACAGCACTTCTCTCTGAAACCCATCCTGACCCTCCAACTTTGTGGAAGGAGACTTTCCTAGGTGTATCCCATGCCTTCAGTGTCTCAAAATTCCCTACACTCGATCAAATTCATCTAGTGACTACTCCATATTTCCTGTGTAACTCTAAGTTCACCAGGATTTGGCATCATATCCTGCTGTCTGTGGTATCTGTCATGCCTGCAGTAGTTGAACCCATGGGTGGTGTTTGACACATATTGATTGAATGATTGAATAAATGAGGGATTCCTTTAGCTCATGTAAAATGTGTCATGAAAAATATCCACATGCTTGATGCACAGTAGGTATTATCTTCATTTCAGGAATGAATGGCCTTGCTAGGATGGCTGGTGAATGCCAAAAAGAACATCAGCCCTGACTTTGGGCCTTTTTGTTGTTTTAGCCCAGTGAGCTGCCTGTGCAATCCTGGCATCTTGACTCTTGCTGTTAGGAAGTGGGGGTTTTGGTTTCTTTCTTTTTGCTTGTTACACTAAAAAGTTGCCATCTTTATACATTAACAGTCAAGTGAACTGTTGTAGAAACAACAGTGGCTTTTTAAGTGGGAAATTTGCCTTAGGAAGCTTACAGAATGTAAGCAAAGGGGGCTAAGGGTAGCTATTTTTAAACTGGGCTTCTGTTTAGTAAACTTACAGGCAAAGCACAATTCACATTTTTAACTTTTTAAAAATATCATTCAAAACAAAAAACCTGCAAATACAACTAAGTAGTTTTGTGTAGGGTACTGATTTATCTAACCATATTTGGGAACATTTAACTTTATAATTTGATGGAGTATAGAGTCTTGAAGCTTTATAGAGTACAATATATGTCAGAGCTAAAACTTTCATCAAGTTTTCATACATGAAGACTGCTTTGACCACAGTTTTGGACAATCACAGTAGATGTTAAATGAATGGGTGAATGAATGTGTTGAGGCTGAGAGTGTTCTTAAATGAAGAACAGATACTTAATTTCAAGAAATTAGGGGAAACATATACAATTCTACAATACAGGATGTCTGCCTGTCCTAGGAATAATTGATGATATTCAGACTTGAGCAGTAGGATAAACCCCAAGATTGCTGAGATGGGTAAAGAATTAAAACTAATGCTGCTGGGAACGATAGCAGGTATGTGTGTGTGTGTGTGTGTGTGTGTGTGTGTGTGTGTGTGTGGTGGAGAAGGGGTAATTCAAGATGTCTTTTGTGCCTACATGAGAACACTTAGGTTTAATAGGGAGATCTTTTTAGATATTTCTGTGATGATTGACAATTTGACTCATTGATACTTTCAGTATGATGCTTAAGAAATGACAGAAGCCCAGACAAGGTTCAGTAAGCCATAGTTGACAAAGAGAAAGTTTCAGAAATAACTGGGAGAAATTCTAGGCTGGAGATAGGCATAAAGCCCAGACAAGGTTCAGTAAGCCATAGTTGACAAAGAGAAAGTTTCAGAAATAACTGGGAGAAATTCTAGGCTGGAGATAGGCATTTTAAAAATCATTAGCTTAAAGGTAGATGTTACCAAATCTGGAGACAGGAGGTGAGTTGGGTTGGGATTGCCACTTAATATGCAAGGGATGGCGGTTTATATTAAGTCTCCTGGGATGCATCAGGGAAGTCTTCCTTGTCTAATATGCCTACATTCCCTAGCTCAAAAACTTTTTAAACCTTAACATGTTTACACAAAAGGTAGTTTTAAGTAGCCACTTACTTGAACTATCTATAATGAGCACATATGAGCCTGGCATTAACTGTGATGTGAGCCAATTGTGAATTCATCTCCAAGATCATGAGATCTTTCTGAAGGCCGTATCTAAATCTTCTTATACCTATACATACTAAATTCCAGATTCCTGAAGGGCAAGAGACAATCATATCTACATTTTGTCCTTATACATTTGGTGGTTCTTAGAAAGAAGATATAATGAACATATATTTTAATAAGTAACAACCACTAAGACATCTACAATTATGCTTTACTTTTGACAGAATTTTTATCTTTTATTTTATAAACTTTTTTAAAATTTCAGTTTAAAAATATAAGCCATTAACTCTAAATGAATCTTCATATTCTACCCCGACATCTAAGAAACTTTAAACTTTAGCTATGTTCCATTTTTTACCAACTTTACTTCATGAGAAAAGTAGAAGCAGACACCCACAGCTAAATCTTGAACTGAACTGAAATCCAGTTGCAGAGGAGGAGGACAGATGAGCATAGGGGTCCATACCAGGCTGGTGAAACCCACAGAAACAGCTGACTTGAACAAGGGGGAGCTCATGGACCCCTGTCTGATAGCTGGGAAACCAGCATGGGACTGATCCAGACCCCCTGAATGTGGGTGTCAGTGAGGAGACCTCAGAAATCTATGGGACCTCTTGTAGTGGATCAGTACTTATCCCTAGCATAGGAATGGACTTTGGAAGTCCATCCCACATGGAGGGATACTTGCTGAGTCTAGACACAAGGGGGTTGGCCTAGGCCCTATCCCAAAGAATTAAGACAGACTTTGAAGACCCCCTATGGAAGGCCTCACCCTCCCTGGGGAGCAGAAAGGATATGGGATAGGTAAGGTGTTAGTTGGGGGGGGGCAGGAGAGGAGGGGAGGGAGAGGGACCCTCTTTCTAATTAAAATAAAAAAAGTTTTCAATTTCTCAGTTTTTATAAGTGAAGGAGATGACTGTTGGGCTGTCATGTAATTTTTAAAGCTTCCTCAGCTAGTTCTTTAATGATGTTTCTCATCCCCATATTACAGAAAAAAAGTAAGCATACCATAACATGTCATGTCATATCATATCATCTACCCTTTCTGCTCTTGAACCCTTCGCCATATACAATGCACAATAGGATGTCATGATGGAGTGAATAACTGTATTCTGTATCTATTATCTTTAAAGCACACATTAAATTACATTCTAATCATATATTATTCACATACAGCTTGTCAATCCCGAGCCTTCAGGAACAGGTATCATTGTGTGTCACTGTCTGATGGGGAACTTGGCACTTAGCATGTGTACACTGAATGACTCCTGAGTGAAGCATGGGGCCAAAAGGAATCCTCCAATCAGCTTAGGGCTACCACAATGTAAACAGACTTTTGCTTAATGGTACTAAGTGGGAGTTGGAAGTTGAGGATGATATTTAATCTGTGCGAAACTCGTGTGTATTTTTAGAATGTCAGCCTCTTGAGTAACTTCAGTCTTGTGGTATCTTGAGTGCCCCTTCTAAGCACAGTGTTTTTCTTTCTACAGGTTGGACTCAAATCCGTGATAGAGCAGTTTCCTGGGCAGCTCAACTTTACCCTCGTGGATGGAGGTTATGTACTAAGCCATGGCCACAAGCAGCTAATGGGCTTGGCTCGCTCTGTTCTCAGTAAGGCCAGGATTTTACTGCTTGATGAGCCCAGTGCCCATCTGGATCCCATGTGAGTCCCAGAAATCCTGTTAATATAATACTACAATAGGAGTAGAGTAATTGAATTTTACTTCATTGATACAAATCCCCATTCTGATACCATGCCTGCAAGTAGGGGCAACAAAAAAATTGTCCAGGAGAAAGTCACTATTGAACATGTACTTATTTTCTTCCATAACATCCCTGTTTCCTCTCCTGACTGGAGTCTGGAATTTCGTACAAACACTTCAACATCATCAACATATGATGAAATATTTACTTAGGTGTAAACACTCTGTTTCTTTCTGTATCTTTATCCATCTCTATATTTTTATTACAAATTCATTAATACTGCAGAATAAAGAACTGATGATGAATCTACATAAAATGTAGCTTCATTCTTCATGAAATTTCTTATAAACATTTGTCTCATTAATGTATGAAATACTTAGAATGTATCCCTTGTTAGAAAGATGACCATGGCTAATTCTGTATCAACATAATGGTAAAAGTATTTTTTAAGTAAAGAACTAAATCTATAGGACACTGTGCATATTGTCAAAGGTAAAGGCAAATTATACTTATGTGGTATTTTCTTGCTTTGCTAGAACCTACCAAATAATTCGAAAGGTTCTAAAACACACCTTCAGTGGTTGCACAGTAATCCTCTGTGAACACAGGATAGAAGCAATATTGGATTGTCAGCGATTTTTGGTGAGTCTTTTATACTTCTTCAGTGTCTCGTTCCTAATTTATTATTAACAATCTTACACATCAGTTACTATAAACTATAGTCATGTGTCCCTTCCTTCATACATATGCCACACATCTTCCAGCTCTCCTAGGTGTGGCTACATGTGTCCTTTTCCTTTGACTTGAGCTATAATGTGCTGCTGAAATTTAGCACACTCCCAGTGGTAGCATATTGCTAAATGGCATTGTAGACCAAGCATCTGTGCTTTCAGGTCTTTATTTGGGGGAACAAGTTATAAAATGTACTATTGAAAAAATACCTGTTTCTTTCAATAAACTAAACTCCCACTGGGGAAGATAAGGGATGGGCTTTACTGTCTGTGGTTTTAGTGCAATAGGAGAGAAGCCTGTTTAATTATCCTCATTACGTCTAGAAGTCAGGTTAGTGCCCTTGTCGGCCACCTTGTCATTTTCTTTGCCAACTGTTGTGGAGGTAAATGCTCTTCTTACCAAAGCGTTTTTACTCCTATTGTCATTACTCAGCTGCAAGTGACTATAGAGAAGATGCATCTCTTGTTCTGCTGGGGTCAAATTCAGGAACTGGGTAACGCTCTCTATGGCCTCAGACTTGCAAAACGTTAACATGCATTGCAGGCATTATAATCAGTTATGCCTAGCCAATTTGGAATTGTTAGGCCTCAGACTCGGTTTTGATGAAGTTCAAAGTTTATGGTATGGTTTATACAGCTCATCTTAAGAGTATATGAGAGATGGATCATGGATCATTCAGGTTTACAAACCTCTTTCAGTTGCCCTACAGTTCTCTGAAGGAGTGTAACACCTGGCATTAGATGACTTTTTGAAATTCCAATTGCTACTTTCAGAGCCATTCATAGATGTAAAAGTTAAGTAAAGTGTACATGGCTGTGAATTCTGCGTTTCCTTTGTATTTTTATTCTCCTTTGGGGCTAGGTCCGTTTCTGTTCCTGAGCTGGCTTGCTCTTCACTCTGTATGGGGTTTCACTAATGGCCTTTTCCCTAGGTCATTGAAGAGGGCACCGTGTGGCAGTACAACTCCCTGCAGGCGCTGCTGAGTGAGAAGAGTGTCTTCCAGCAGGCCATCAGTCCCTCGGAAAAGATGAAGCTCTTCCAGGGCCGCCACTCCACCAAGCAGAAGCCTCGATCACAGATCACTGCTCTCAAAGAGGAGACAGAAGAAGAAGTGCAGGAAACCCGTCTCTAGTGGCCAGGATGCTGGGGAAGCAGCTCAGTGGACCTGAGTCTATTCCCAGAATCCATGCAAAATGAAAAAGCCAGGCATGCCCTGTGCTTCTAACCCCAGGGCTGGGGACACAGGAACAGGTGGATCCTAGCAAGTGATCCTAGCCCACATAGACAGTTGCAGGCCAGGCACCTGAGAGACAGTGCCTGAAGATATCCTCTTGCCTCCACATGCAAGCACACATGAACACACATGCACATTAATAGCTGTATACAAAGAAAAACGAAGAAAAGGAGGAGGAAAAGGGAAAGATAAAAAGACAGACTCTAGAAAGCAGTGCAAATGATTGGAAAAGAATCATGCGGGATGTCTGTTCATGGACCCTGAGAAGGAGAACCCCACTATCTGTGCCTTTGAAAATAGGGTGAAGCCCCCATCTCTGCTTTTTAAGAGACTGTTTTGGAAGAGAAATCAAGAGCAATCCTATGGGTCTGGGCCACTGGCTTGCTAGTGGCGGCCAGATTGTTTGAAAGGCACTGCTTGACAATGGGCCACTTGTGTTTTGCAAGCCAAATTTTCCTGGAAACATTTGCCCCCCACTAGGAGCTGGAAAGGCAGTTATAAATGCCAGCCAGGTTAGTTGTTCAGCTTATTACTCATCTCTTCTGGTTAATTTGCATTATTGAAGAACCATACTCATAGTGTGTAGAGATAGGATGAAGCAATGAGAACTGGAAACTGGCTTATATAGCTCATATCCCATCTTTCTGCTATCCAAGATATTCAGACACATGGCTGTATTACCTGCTATACATTCTGTGTGTACCACTCCAAGCAGATGTTAAAATACTATGAAAGCCTGGGTGGTATTGAAAGATGCCCACTTGACATTTGGTGATCTAGTTACCAATTCCCAGATCTTGGGAATTAAGGTTAAGACCCTCCACTCATACTCCCACACATCTAAACATCCTTATAAACAATGCGTCCCTGACCTAGGAAAAGAACTGTTACAAGTCCATGAAGGGGCCAGAATCATTTCCATGATGTGGAAATTGACGCATTTATGTTGCCAGAAAGCAGCAGACCTTTAAGACTTCTAAAGTGAAGGAGACTTGCATCAGTGCATGCAGCACAGTGCCAGGTCCAGGAGTTCCCATGGAGACAGGTCATGGGCAGTGTGGGTAGATGCTGATGGAAATGTGCAGGGGGTGTTCATGTGCTCTCAGCTAGCTGTACCTACTTCATACCATCTCCACACAGTTACAGGAGCAACACGCTGACAAAGATTTAATCATGAATTAGTTTTGTATGCTCTATTTTATAATTTGTGATACAAATGAAATTTTCTCTGGGAGATATTTATTTTAGTAATAATGTTTCAAACTCATATATAGTAATGCTGTATTTTAAGAATGATTACATAATGAATTATATTTGTATAAAATAATCTTTTATATTTGACATGTTGAATTTTTATGGCACCGGCTATTTTTAAAAAGGGGCGTGAGGAGGACAAGTATGATAAGGACCAATGGGGTAAAGCATTGGGACTGATTCTTGTACACATCTATGTGCCTCTCAGACAACACGCGTTCCATTTTAATGCAGCTCTGAAGAAGATTGTACCAAAAGTCAAGATGGTCCAGTTATGGGCACATCAGCTTCTCAACTGCAAACTAAGCCTTAGAAGAATGTATTATATTTATTACTGTAATAGAATATCATGTATCAATAAAATTCTTTTATTTGTGTGAAACTCATCTTTTAGATGTGCTCATTAGGAACCCCTAACTCTAGTCGCTAAGCTTCATGGAACAAAAAATCAAAGAGATTATATCTAAAAGGAAAAATTTTGTCCCATGATCTCTTTGAGAATCCCAGTTGAATTAGAGCACAAATCATCAAGTTATCTCTTTAAATTTCAGTAAAATATTCATAGCATGTTTACCATATTTTATCATTTTAAACAATAGTTCAATGGAATTTTGTAAATCCACACAGCTGTGTAATTACCACCACTATTGATCTATTCATTTCTAGTTGAAGATTTTTTTCATCCTGAAAACAGTCCTTATCCATTAGACAGTAATGATTTTACCTCCATGAACCCATGAATTCCTCTTTTGACCTATGATTTTGAGTGAACCTTGTAGGAATGCAATCTCACTATTAGTCCCTTTGTATTTAGCTTCTTTTACTTAACATATTGTCTTGAAGACAGCCACATTATATCAATCATCTGAATTTTCTTCCTATTCAAGTTCCATGATAGGCATCATGTATAATTATATACATTATTCAATATATTAATATATGTTAATATATTTAATATTTTGCATAGTCATTCATCTACAAATGGACTCAAGTGAATTCTACATTTTTGATATGGTAAATACATCAGTGAACATGAGTCTACAAATATCTCTTCAAAACTTAGTAAACTTTGGGGTTTTTATATTAAATAGAGGCACAGAGAACATAAAAGTTTTACAAATAAATGTTTTTTTTTGTTTTTTCGTTTGTTTGTTTGTTTGTTTGTTTTTTACAACCAGTGAGTCTACCTTGACACATCATTATCCCCAGTGATAGTGGTTTATGTGTTGGCTAGTTGTTTGTCAACTTGATACAACCTTGAATTATCTGGGTAGGGGAACCTCAGTTGAGGAAATGCCTCCATCAGATTGCCTACAGACAAGTCTGTATTTCATTTTTGGGACTGATGATTGATGTGGGAAGGCCTAGCTCACTGTGAGTGGTGCTAGCTCTAGACAGGTGTCCCTGGATGGTATAAGAAGTCAGGCTGAGCAAGCCTTGGGTAACAAGCCGGTTAGCTGCTCCTCCGTAGCCTCTACTTCAGTTCCTGCCTTGACTTCCCTCAGTTAAGAACTATAAACAACAAGCTGAAGTAAACCCTTCCCTTCCCAAGTGGCTTTTAGTCAGTCTTTAACACAACAATAGAAACCTACCCGGGACAATTTACAACAGAGCTCATTCTATTTATTTATTTACTTTTTTTTAATTTTTTGTGTCTTTGACATCATGAAGCTGATCCCATCATTCATTTCCCTGTCCCTTCCTATTCACCCTCTGCCCTTGCAAACCACCCCCAAGATAAAATAAAATTTAAGAGGAAAATAAAAAATTTCATGATGGAAGCTGTAGTGTGACATGGTGAGTCACACAGTAAACCCTTTTGTCCATTTATCTTTATTTGCAAGTGTTTATTGCAAAGAGTCATTGGTCTGGTTCAGGGCCAACAGAGTTCATTCTCAATGGATACTGTTTGTGAGTTTTGACTAAGGTGTAATGAGATGTGTAGCATCACACAGCCTAGTTCCTTTGCCTCACAGTTTCCATGTCCTCACTCTTCTTCCCTCACTCCCTCCCAACTCTTGCCAATGGCTGGTGTTTCACTGCTTTAGAACTTGTGTCTTCCCTAGATAGGAAGCTGGAACTGTGTAGTATGTGGTCCTTTCATGCTGGCTTCTTTCACTTAGGAATAAGCAGTGTCTCTACATGTGATTTTACTGCTTGATGACTCATTGATTTTTGGATAACATACCACAGTTTATTCACCTACTGAAGGACTTCATGGTTCTTCTTGATTTGCTGTTATTCATTGTAATAGTCTTGAAATAAGCTGCTAAAACTGTAGGGAGAGAAAGATTGAGGGGGGGAGAAGACTAGGAGGAGAGGGGAGAAGAGCGAGACAGTGGGGAAGAAAAGGCAGATGGAGAAGAAGATGAGAGCTGAGAGGAGGCAAGGAGAGACGGGGGAGAGCAGAGACATGTCTAGACAAAAAAGCAAAGGCAGAAAGTATTGAGCTAAAGAGGACAATTGAGGAGACATTTGGGGTATAGCAAGAGGGGCCGTGGAATTACTGTGACATTAACAAAGCCATGGTTTCAAAGACTGACACTCACCTTAACACCTACCTTAATATTATTCAAGATCCCATGTCTCATTTTGTGTGGATAACTTTGTAATCTTTTAAAAAGGCGTGCTATCCCCCACCTCCACCCCCACCCCCCGTCCAAATTATAAAATGTCTAGGCTCTAAAAACACTTGGCATATCCCTGAAGAAGAGATGGGAATTCAGGGGAAGAAGCAGGGTGTGTTGATGACAAATTGGGCTACTCAAGGGCCTAATTGTAAGGATTCGGGTATTATGCTGTCCTAACCCTATCACCTGGCAGAATGTACTCAGGCAGTATCCTGGTCAGCTCAGAGTTCCATGACTGCTAGTCTGCAGGCAGGTACAAAGACCCCTTTAAAAGAATGGCCCCGCCCACTTACGCTCTGTTTCTGCTCTTTCCTGCCATTCCACCCGGGGGCAGACAGGACTTTTCTTGTCTCTCTCTTCTCTTCTTTCCTTTGTCTATGTCTCTGTGTCTCCTTATCACTTTTCTCTTTCCTTCCCAGCCCCCTTCCTTTTCTAATAAAACTTCTTGCTTAAACTTTGTCTGCTTGGCATGTTTGTCCCTCCACCTTGGTCACCCTTGCCTGCCATGGAATCCACCAAGGTCCCCCGAGTACACCAATAATCGAAGAATTGCTTAGAATGGGACTCGGGAATTGAACGACTTTAAATAAGTAGAGGGGTGAAAAGCAGCCAAGCTTCCATCAGGTTGGGAGATAAAACAAAAGCAGCAGGACAGTGGCAGCTATGGAATTTGGAAGCCAAACTTAAAGGCTGTAAAACACATTGAAAAATCCTAGTTGGTTTTGTTGCTGAGTGGCCTTCAGTCCTCAGTGCCTCAGTGGGTCTCAGTGTGTGCTCTCTGAGTACTTACATGAAGCTGGAATTCCTGGGTCCTAGCCAGACTGACAGAAATCAGGGACTTTGAAGGTGGGGACATGGTGTGTGCTCCCTCTCGAGTGTATCAGTGTGACCTCCAAATGCCAGAGGAGTAGGGAAGGTCAGCGAATGTGTGAGCCCATCAAGTCCTACCTTTGTCACTATCCTTCCCTCTGAAAAGTGTCTTTTATGTAACACTTTTTGCAAAGCAGGTAAGCC